CAGTCCAGCGGAGTGAAAGAAAAGCGAGAGAGAGAGAGACAGAGGGAATATAGGTGTTTTCAAGTTTCTTTATTCAATAGCAAATAGAAAAAAGAAAAAAAGAAAAAAGTTGAGTATGTATCAATGAATTTTCTATCATTAAAAACAAAATCACCATTTAATAATATTTAGGATTAATGAAGTGCAGAAATTTTTTATGCCATTAACATAAACACAGATCCCAACATTATAGGTAATGTTTTTCAATAGGAGAAATTTGAGCTAAGTTTAATTTTTTTAATGGTTATCAATTAGTACTTAGACAAATTTAAGATTTGATTAAAGATTCAGGGTTGGTTTGGGACGGCTTCACGACTGCTTCGCTATCTAAAAAGCAGTTAAATTATTGTTTGGAACGATCGCGGCAGAGCCCGTTCCGAAAATTTTTGCTGCCCCTCGCTGCTTCTCAGGACCGAATCTATCTCCCGCGGTAGGCTGCTTTCCGCTATTTCGAAGCCTAAAAATGACGCTAGTGCCCCAATTCGTGCGGAAGTTGCCGATCATTCCGCCATATACAGCCCTCGTCTCCGTTAGCATACCTATCTTCAGGACATTTTGATGGTGCAAATCTTCCTCAGCCGATTATCTCTAAAGGTTATTCATCTTTGCTATCCTCATACGCGATCGTCTCCAGCGGGCTGCATCCTCGGCTCCATTCGGTAGGAGGTCACTCGTCAGTCAGCCGGTATGAGATTCGTCATTCTTACCTCCTTTATTTTGCTCATCTACGATTTTTTCTGCATTTTGCGACTCTTCTTCCCTCCTCTCACGACCACACTTCAAGCCAGCACCTCCCGCCTCCCCTATTCGCAAATCCCCATTCCTCGGCTGTCTCCGAACGATGGAGAATGTGGAGCATTTTTTCATTTTCTTAACGAGCACTTCAAGTCAGCACCCATTGCTTTTTCTACGATCTTCTGTTATAGCCAGCGTTTAATTGTTTTCAAGGCATCGACTTTTTCTACGATCTTCTGTTCAAATTCAAGCCTCCATTCCCCCTGCTGCCTTTCTTTAAAGCGGCCCGAAATGAGAGCGACGGGAGGGATTTTTTCCCGTTAGTCTTTCGTAACATTTGGGAAGAAGAGAGATTTTGAGTTTTTTCTCACTTTTTTAATTCACTCTGGATGTAAGGTAGAGAGAGCGAGAGACGAGAAGGAAAGTTCTCTTGCTTGCGTCTCTATTCCGGTGAAAAGGAGAGAGACGAAGGCGAGCGTGTGCGTTCTATATAGTCTAGAGAGCGAGGAAGGGTAGACTGACATCTTGCGTGTGCTTTCTTTTGTTCGTGATTTTAAATCGAGTGGAGGAATGGATCTGTTGAGGCCATCTTCTCCGGAAGCCCCGACAAAGTAGAGGAGATGGTCGACCAGAGGTGCAGGATCAGTCGTCCCGCTGCTGATTTTACCTCCGTTACATCCTTCCCATCCAACCAGGTTGTAGGCTTGGATTTCCATTACAAAAATACTCTCTAATGTTTTATTCTCTCTTTGAATTAAATCGAAATCATGGAGTTTTAGGGTCCATATCGTCCACTGTAAATTTACATCCTTCCCATCTCTCTTTTTTGCAAAGATTTACCCGTTTCTGAGTTTTTCCAAGGAGACTAGCAACATTAAACAACTTTCAGTGAAAACAAAACGAAATACATCATGACCAAATGTTTGTTTTATTTAAAATATGATTATTCATGTATATCTCATACTTTTCATTTGACCAACATGGAGATGGAGTGGGTTGCTTTCTTCTATTATCATGGCCTTTGAATCTATATCAAGAATGAAGTTGTTAATCATCGCAAACCTTGATTATATCACAGAAGTTGTTAATTGTATTAGTTCATGGACTGTTCTGTTGTGACAACTATCCAAAGACCTGAAAAATTAACTTTAAGATCTATATTGTATCCGACAACTTTATGTATGTTTTCTCAAAGTTATATGCAATTACCATTTTTTTATATCTCAAAGTAAACTGCAATTTCCTTATAAATTATTTTAGGTACTCGTATGCTATCCATTACAATCCTTCTTCAGTCAATTTATAATACAAGTAAGATTTAAAATGGGTAAGCCAAAAGATGGTGGACCAACCGCAACATGGGAGAAAGATGTAAATATTATATTCTGTGATTTATGTCTAAGGGAGATTGAACTTGGCAACCGACCAACCACACATTTTAATAAAGAGGGTTGGACGAATTTAATTAAGAATTTTTATGAGAAAACTGGAAGAGAGTATGATAAAGTTCAGTTAAAAATAAATGGGATCAGTTAAAAAAAGATTGGAAATTATGGAAAGAATTGAAGCGTGGATCCACTGGGCTGGGTTGGGATCCCAGGAAAAAAACCATTGACGCACCTGATGAATGGTGGAAAGAGAAATTAGAGGTAAATATTAATTTACATTTATTTGTCTATTTGAACCTTCATATAATCTATCTTACTTATTTGAAATAATATTTTTCTTTATAGGTTGTGCCAAATGCAAAAAAATTTAGATACTGTGGCATTGATCCTGAGCTAGAAGATAAGCTTGATCTTATGTTCCTAGGTGTTGTTGCCACCGAAGATCATGCTTGGACTCCAAACCAAAAACTTCACCATGAAAATGTTACTGAAGATTCTGAAAACATTGATGTAAGTTCTGAGTCTTTTGAAGATCCTTCACAGAAACTTGAAAGCATTAATGATTGTATCCAATTGAAACGTCCTTCATCTACAACGTCAACCGGTAGAAGGAAAAAAATCTTTGGTTCAACATTTCTAAGAAGTCAAATTACTCAGCTTGTCAATTCTTGTACCAACATTACATCAGAAACTAATGAATCAAAGTCAATACTCGAGAAATCCTCCATTTCAGCTGCCATTAAAGTGCTTGAACAAACACCTGAAGTATTTGATGACATGCAACTATATTTGTTCTCGACCAAGCTTGTTGAGGATCCAACGAAGCGAGAAGTTTTTATGTCGATTAGCCCTGAACGATGAGCTCTTTATCTTCGATATTTTTACGAAAATCATGACACAATAACATCATAGTTGCTATACCGTACTCATGTTGGCCTGTGATACTCACTCCTTATAATCTTCCTCCAGAGTTATGTATGACTACTCCTTATATGTTTCTATCACTTATAATTTCAGAGCCACATAATCCAAAATGAAAGATTGACGTATTCTTACAACCTCTGATTGATGATTTAGGTTTATTATGGGAAGAGGGAGTAAGTATATATGATAT